TGATTCCCTACCAACAGCTTATTTAAGTCCCATGTACCAGTTAGAGATTTACAGGTATTGTATACTTTGCTTTCCTGGTTTGAGTTGTCATTTTTTTGACTGAGAGTATCAGTCCATGGTGTCAACATGAGAACCAGATAGCAAGAGTCTGCATAAAATAACAAAGCAGCAATGTTCTACACAACTAAATTAACTACCTATCCTTTACCATACAGCTGAATCCTGCACCTGCATTTCCATTAGTACACACAAGGCTAAGTAGGCCCCAGTTTCCAGGTCACCCTTTCCCTTTTTGAACACCAACAAATGGTCCACTGATTTTCCCATATGTTTAGATCTAATTAAAAGTAGCAATGGACAAAAAAAATAAATAAATATCCTCAGCTACTCCTGGGGACTTAAGTGCAAGGTACTTGGTACACTTCAAGTCTTTATCTGCAGCAGATGCAGGCCAGCATCCTCCTTGCAGTTTGTTAGGCCCCTGTGGACCGGGAAGTAGCAGCACAGCTTTCCCCCAGGCAGAGGGATGGCAGATGGCAGAATCTTCTTGCCCCCAAAGACTCTTTCTCCGGCTCTGCTTGCCCTTCTCCCGGAAGAAGGGCCCAGAGCCCAGCTGTGCCAGAGCTTCCCTCTTTCATCCTCCTCCTTCTGGCTTCCTTCCCCCCATACCCCAGCACGGAGGCACCCAACTCACTTTTGCGCTGCTCCTCCTTTTCCAGGAACTTCCGTAGCCGGTCTGAGGGGATGGCAAAAGAGATGCCTGATGTCACCTTCCTAGTGTTCACCCCCATCACTTCGCCATCCTGTCAGGGAAAGGGCACTGCGCTATCCATCCTGCATTGCTGAGGGGAACTACAGCGCAAGCCTGGAGTCCAGCCTGCAGTCCTTCCCAGCCGGCTTCTTCTGCAGCCTGCCCGACCCTGCTGGGGCTGAGCAGGGACCAGTCCCACAAGCTGCAGCCCACGCAGCCCCTCCCGCTGCCCTGCCAGCATCAGCCATGCCAGCCTCACCAGGGTAGGGCCACGCCAGAGTCCCATCAGCTCGGGCTCCCTGAAACAGACGCTGCACAGGGCTCCTACACGGGGCTGATCCCCTGCCTCTCCTCACGGGGAGCCTGGAGCACGCACAGTCCCTCCCTCCGGCAGCTGCAGCACCCACAAGTGCTCCCACCGAGGGGCACCGAGCCCCAGGGGGCACAGACCGAAGGGGAGGCACGGCTCTGCCCCAGCCAGCACGGGTGCAAGCAGCAGAACTTACCAAGTTGACGAGGGGGCCCCCGGAGTTCCCAAACTGCAGCAGAGGAGAGAGCAGTAAACAGGCTACGAAAGCAACATCCTCGCACAGCAGGACCCGCGGCAGGGAGGCAGAGTCCGGAGGACAGAGTCAGGCCAAGAAATTCAGCCAGTGCCCAGGTGACCAGCCAGAATCCCTTCATTTCCCAGTGCTCTGTGTCCAGCCTCCTCTGACCTCACAGCACCCACAGCCCTTCCCCAGCTCCCCCCTCCCCAAAGAGGGCAGCCAGGATGAGGTGCCAACCCGCTGCGCACCGCAAGCTCCCCTTACATCAATAGCCGCATCAGTCTGGATGTACTCCATGTCGGAGGCAGTCAGGCCCAGCTCCCGGCTGCCCCGCTGCGCAGAGCTGACGATGCCGGAGGTGATGGTGTTCTGCAGGGCAAACGGGCTGCCCATGGCCACCACGAACTCTCCCACCCCCTGCCGCACCTCGGAGGAGCGCCCAAGGGGCAGGGTGGGCAGTGGGTGCTGGAAGAGAGGAGGACGGTGAGCGGATGGCAGGGAATGAAGGGAGGGTCTCCACAACTACGATGCACACCTTAGGCTTGATCTTGATGGTAGCGATGTCTGCAACCTGGTCCACGTCCTGCACTACGGCGTCATACTGCTCGCCGCTGGCCAGCTTCACCCGCACGCGCCGCCGGTTCGCCACCACGTGTGCGTTGGTCACAATGAGCCCGTCCGGAGACACCAGGAAACCCGAGCCATTCGAGATAGGCACATCACGGCCCGAAAAGGGATGCCTGCAAGGTGGGCACAGGTCAGGGGTGGGGCAGGGGCTCCGAGGGGACTGATGGGGACTCTGGTAAGGGCAGGCAGGGGCCAGGCAGACTGGGTGGCCCAGGCTGGTAGGCTGGAAAGAAGTGAGGGATAGTGAGGATGTCTGGGCAACAGCACGATAGGGGAGACTCCTTCGCTTCCCCATGAAAGGTCCCCATCTCGAGAGCCTCCACAAACACGCATGCAGCAGGGGAACAAGCAGGAAGAATCAGGAGTCTGCGCACAACTGCAAAGGTACAATCCCACTGGGACCACAGAGGTGCAGTGGGAAGCTTGCACGAGTGGAGAGCTGCAATGGATGGCAAGGGCTCTCTGCGGAAGACAGGCAAAGACGTAAGACGGCAAGGACGTAAGTAGGAGGGGCCGTGATCTGTGCAAAGAAGTAGCCTGAAGACATAGAGCCTTGCCTTGGAGCATGTAATAACCACTTGGGAGGTGACAGGTACATCTTCTTCAGACAGCTAAAGGAAGACTCATGATTGCAGGCCCTGGTCCCCATGGGGAACATCAATCACCCTGACGTCTGCGGGAAGGCCTGGTGCTGAGTGGGGTAAGGGACCTAGTGACAAAAGACACAGAAAGGGCTGAGGAGATTGGTGCCTTTTTGCCTTGTTCCTTTGGCCTCCCAAGTCCCTGTGCCCTGAGGCAGAGTCTGTGGGAATGCAGCATTACACAGAAGAAGGTCAAGGGAGGGATTGCTGAAGCCAACTGGACACGCACAAACCCATGGGCATCAGATACAGGATGGGTGACACACAGGGGGGATGGCTGATGTCCCTGTGAGTGCTCAAATGTCACAGTGGTAAAGGGGGGCTCCTGATGGCTGGAAAAAGGCAAACATCACACCAGTCTGCAACACTGCCAAGAAAGAGCGTCCTGAAAAGTGCAGGTCAGTCAGATTCGCCCCCATCTCTGGGAAAGTTGTGGAGTAAACACTCCCAGAAACGACTTCCTGGCACAGAGCACACAAGAAGGGGCCTGGGAGCAGCCAGCACAGACTTACCACTGGCAAATCACACTCAACCAACCTGGCTGGCTTCTGCGCTCAGAGGAGCGGCTGTGCAGATAAGGGGTGAGCAGTGGACATTGTTTACCTCAAGCAGGCTTTCGGCATGGTCTGCTGTGGCACCCTTCTAGGCACACAGGTGACATGTGGGCTGACAATCAGGTAAGGCAAATGGAAAATCAGCTGGACCACCAAGGCCCAAGTCCAACTGGTGGTCAGCTACTAACATCATGCCTCAGGAACCGAGAGAAGGGCCAAGGCCATTTAACGCCTTTCACATTCATGAACCAAATGACGGGACACTGCATACGCTCAGCAAGCCCGCAGGTGACACCACACCGGAGGTAGCGGTCAACAGGCTGAAGGGAGGTGGTGGACTCACCATCCCTGGAGGTTTTCAAAAAACGTTTAGATGTGGCACTTCGAGACAAGGTTTAATGGGTTTAGTGGGCATGGTGGCATTGGGTATACGGTAGGACTTGAAGATGTTTGAGGTCTCTTCCAACCATAATGATTCTATGATAAGGGCAGAGCTACTATTCAGAGGTGCCTTGATAGGCTGGAGATGCAGGATGGCAAGAACACTGGGGAGTTCAAAGGCAAATGCAAAGTTGTGCTCCTGGGACAGCATAATCCTGTGCCACAGGACAGCCTGAGGCCGCTGCTTCAAAGGCAGCTTTGCCAAAATGGTCCTGGAGGACAAGAAGGTGGCAGTGCGGCAGCGGTGTGTCCCTGTGGTGATGTCCGACCCCATGCCAGCTGCGTGCACTGGCGGTGGGGTGAGTGGACAGATCCGTCTCTCCCGCAGCACCTGTGGGACCCCACCCGGATGCCGTGCCCGGTTCAGGCTGCCTGGGACACGACATGGGGTGGCTGCAGGAAAGGCCAGCGGAGGCCCCGCAGGTAGCCGGGGGGGCTGCACAGTGCAGGAAGGCTGGGAGAGGGGGGCTGTGCAGGCGGGGGGACAGGGAGGGCCGGGGGATGCCTCCC